AAGCTAAATATCTCATAAGAAGACAAAAAAAACAGTAAGCAAATTTGACCAAGAACATAATTTTTGAAGAAATCTAAAAGAGCTTGATGTATTCTGATGGAGAACGTATACGTAAAGTTTTTTATTCTGAAAAATATTCGTTAGAATCATGGAGTCGCTCTCGTCTGAATGAGCCGAAGGTTTTGATTGATGAATGTCTGAAAACATCATGTATCCAGATGGATTACAGAGATTAAACTGAAATGCAAAAACAGAACAAGTGTTTTTGCTGACTCATCTTTATTATTATTATTATTATTATTATATTAGGAATCATGGAGGAACTCAGGAATTCTGTTTTCTTCTCATTCATGCATGAAGACCTAAAAAAAACTAAACAAAAAGTGTGGGAAGTGAAACAGATTGTTGTGAGATCAGACAGGGCGGTATCTCACCTGGGCTGCTCGGTCGGTTTATATTTGACAGGTGAGGAGGTCATGTGACTGCTCAGGTGAGTCACCTGAGCAGGAAGAGGAGCTGTCAGTGCTGTGATTCTCACACTCCGTCTCTGTGTTTTCAGTCTTCAGTCTGTGTTCCTCTGCCTTCCATCATGTCTCCATCCCATCAGAACGCCACTTGCTGTTGTTTCTCTCAGGCTTTACTTCCCAGCCGCTCCACCGTCGTGGAAATGTTTCGCCGCAGGAAGAAGAAGCACCGGCTGGAGATCTCGGCGCCGAAGGACTTCCAGCACCGGGTCCACACGTCCTTCGACGTCTCCACGGGTCGGTTCGTGGGCCTGCCGCCTCAGTGGCAGAGCGTCATCGAAACGCTGAAGAGACCACGCCCCCTTGTAGACCCCTCCAGGATCACCAACATAGAACTTGAACCCAGAAAGGTCAGAGGTCAAATTTAAAACATTGTTATTAAACAAAATTGATTAATGTTTGAGTTCTGGTGAAAACCTGTAAGCAGCAAAAGTTTCAGCCACTCTGGGTTTCTTTAGAGTTCGGCTCATATTTATACTGTCAACAAAGTCAGCTGTCTTACTGTTTGCAGTTCCACACAGGACTGAACCAACAGAAGTAACTGGTGTCAGTCCAAAAATACAACAAAGTAATGTACTTAATGTTAGTCCCAGACAGATTCAACTTTTCTTTACAAGCTTATGGTTGCATCATGTCTTCCTTCACTCATTTGTACTTTTCCTGTCTATAAAACCTGAACCTAAATGCTCATATTGTTACTGTAACCACAGAATATCTCATGAGTGTAATGTTTCTTTATAGCCCTCGAGTGTCAACTCTGCAGTCAAAACATTTCAGAGAGAGAACCATTCATGAGTTACAGCTCAAGAGTTCCTTGAAGGAATGCATGACACCTGCTGTCTTTTACAAGTCTTAAACTAAGATTGTCCTATGATAAGATACAAATTTACAAGGAATCTTGTAAGTTAAACATTATGTGCATTTTCATTCTTCATTGCAAGATCTGCCATTATCTATTAGCAAAACAGTAGCAAAAAGCTAGTTAAGTTAAATAATTCAAAAAGTCCAATAGTTACAAAAACAAAAAGTCGAGACTGAGATGAAATGAACAAGGCAAATGTTTTAATGTGAGTGGTTAAAGTAGCTGAAGGTATATAGGCATACTTCAAGGCACTGTGGGGATGGGATGGAATGGAGTAGGATAGGGTAGAGTAGGGTAGGGTGGGATGGATAGGATAGGATAGGATAGGATAGGATACGATGGATAGGATAGGATAGGATAAGGTAGGGTAGGGTGAGATGGGATAGGATAGGATAAGGTAGGGTGGGCTGGGGTAGAGTAGGGTGGGATGGGATAGGATAGGATAGGATAGGATAGGATAGGATAGGATAGGATAGGATAAGGTAGGGTGGGATGGGGT